TGCCCACGCTCAACCTTGCCTGTTCAAATTCAGCGTTTCCTCGCTGTTGAGTATCACCTACGGCTTCGTGAGAATTTTGGCGGTTAAACTGTTAACTTGGGAATCAGGGAAAGATATTTACCCTTCAAGGTTTCGAATATAGCTTTCATGCGCTGATGCGTAAAATTTTTATTTTCCAATGTTTGAGGTATTTTTGCATAGACAAAAGCACAAAGCAGTGGAAATCATCAGTAGGCAATCGTTCGATGGACTGATTTGCACAAAACGCATGATCGCACCGGCTAGTCTGGTGCGCATTGTTATTTATTTTTCTGTTGTTCCTGGTTTTTATCCATATTTTTTTCCTTTGTCGTTCCTTCGAAAACAAACGTTAGCTGTTTCGCATCCCTTCCAGCTCTTTGTGGTCATTCGTCTAAGAAAGCTGTTTAACGTGCTGGATGCATATTAATCGCTAGAATTCTGGTACGCTAGAGGGAGTGGAGGGGTGGGTGGGAGGAGGGGGAGGAGCGAGGTGGGAAGAAGAAGGAGGAGAAATGCTTAGAGTTATTTGGGATTAAACTAAGCGCAGCCATGTTGTTTCTACTAATTTAATATCTTGCAGGCTGAATGTGAGCGTTCGCAGATGGAGGGCGAATTGAAAAGTAAGCAGCATCAAGCAAATGAGGCACTGCAATCCATGCAGAAGCATGAGTTGCACCGGGGCAAGTTGCAGAAGCGCCTAAACGAGGCTCGATTGGATGACGATGTCGATAGTCAGCTCACGGAAGTGGTATGTTTAATCTGTTTGTCTCGTCGTTTTTGTGTATTGTTTTATATGTGCAAATGCTAAAACATATGTTGGCATATAAAAAATGCGAACTTTTTGTCAACCATTTTCAAATCGAGAACCAGAAAAGCTAGAAAGCTGAAACTTCGGGTATGCGTGGTAGTCATGTGCGGGCATGTGAAAGTTTTGGCGAGGATGTTACTAGCTCGGGAGTCGTAGTAGTAGTAGTAGTAGTAGTAGTAGTAGTAGTAGTAGTAGTAGTAGTAGTAGTAGTAGTAG